CCCCCCCTTATGGGCTGCTTCGCCCCCGCCAGTGATGCGACCTATCACTGCGGTGTCATGTGGGTGTGATTTAGATCCCTTTACGATCTCAGTCTCACTTGACAAGATTCTGTTAACACAGTTTGGTTTGATGTAAGGGATCTCACTGCTAATGCAAACACGGCAGAACTGTCACTTGAGACTGAGATCGCACAGGGATCTAAATCATGCTCACAAAACGATTTATTATGCAGCCCTAGTTTTAGAGAAATAAGGGGAAAAAAGTTAAAGGACAAATCAGATTTAAAAACACTTGTACAATTGTAAAATGATTTTGTTTTTCTCCTACTAGAAATACCCAGAGAAGCTGTACTTTGAGGGTCTTGCGGACCAAGTCAACCCTCCCATGCAACTCCAGCCTCAGTACCTGCCAATCTACTTTGGCAACGTGTGCCTGCGTTTCCTGCCCATCTTTGACATCGTCATCCACCGCTTCCTGGAGCTTCTTCCTGTGTCCAAGTCTCTCGAAACGCTGCTGGACCATCTGGGAGGGCTTTACAAGTTCCACGGTAAGTGAGGGTGTGTGCAACCAACAGATAACTGTGTGAATGAAAAAGGTTAGGGTTTAGAATGAGCAATAGTAATCGATACATGAATGACGAGGGAAAGGAGAGCCATCTCTTGAGTTGTGCATGAAATGTTTAGACCATGATTTGTGCACACTGACCTGTAGTTACTGTACAGACCGCCCAGTCACCTACCTGTACAACACACTTCACTACTATGAGCGACACCTGAGAGACAGAACCAGCCTGAAGAGAAAACTGGTGCATGCCATCATATCTTCTCTGAAGGTATGCAAAGAGAACACACACACCCAAGTACATATTATTTACTAAGACTATACATACATGTCATTTTACATGTAGATAAATGTTTTGTTTTTTGTTTTTAAGTGTAATGATTCTTCTTTTATAGGACAACCGTATGCCAGGTTGGTGTCTTAGTGAAACCTATCTTAAGTTTGGCATGAACGCCAGAGAGGACAATGCGTGGATCCCTGATGACACCTACTACTGCAAGCTGATTGGACGCCTGGTGGACAATATCCTTCATTAATCACATCCTCTTGGTGGAAGGTTCCATCACTGTATTCTCCAACATTTCTACCCTGTTGCTGACTAACACTAAAGTCATGGGTTTCTGGGGCAGCTAAACAAGAGTTTTACTGTCCTGCAGATGCTACATGTCTCCCTTATTGCCTCTGTACTTTAAGGAGTGGCAAATTGTTTGCACTGTACAGCTGCAGTTAACCTCAGTTCATTTTATTGCACAGTTGAGATGTTACAATAGAAAAGTTACTAAAAACAAGAGAATGCAAGTGGCTCTAGGAGTGTAAAAAAAAAAAAAAAGACAAAACACACCTGTTACTATTGAACTGTTTTCTACTCTAGTGACATTTACCATCCTTAACACTCTTCCACCCATGGCGGGAAAGTCACCCGGTCCCTTCCCCAACTGTGACTGGAGGTTCAATGAATTCCCCAACCCCGCAGCTCATGCCCTGCATGTCACCTGTGTCGAGCTGATGGCTCTGGCAGTGCCAGGAAAAGACGTTGGCAACGCTCTGCTCAATGTTGTTTTAAAAAGGTATGATTAACAAACGTGCTGTCATCTCTCAAGGAGACAACCATCAGTGTTTTAGTAAACAATGACCCCAAGTAGTAGTAGTGTGTTTGTACATTTATGGAAGATGTGAAACATTTGTCAAAGTATCAGTTTGTCCACCTTTTAGCCAACCCCTGGTTCCCAGAGAGAACATCACAGCTTGGATGAATGCCATTGGGCTTGTGATCACTGCACTGCCTGTAAGAAAAACATTCACAAGATATGTTGATAGTCCTTTTTAATATTTGATGAATTTACATTACGTTTGAGCACCTCTGCTCTCCTCTCTCAGGAGCCCTACTGGATCGTTCTCCATGACCGCATTGTGTCTGTGCTTGGGTCTCTGGCCCTGACAGCAGAGACGGAGTGGCCAGGGGATCCCTTTGCCTTGCTGGACTTCACAGCTTGCCACCAGAGCTACAGTGAAATGAACTGTAGTTATGTACTTGCCTTGGCGCACACTGTCTGGCATCATTCATCCATCGGACAGCTCTCTCTCATACCCAAGTAAGGAAGCTTTCCTCCTACCCTCTTATCCTCTTCTCTGCCTTTTTAGTTGATGTATAATTTATGGTTGTCATGTCGTCATAATTCCGTGTCTGTAGATTCTTGTCAGAGACTCTGAAGCCCATTGTCCAGACGGAGTTCCAGTTACTCTATGTATATAATCTGGTGGGCCCATTCATGCAGCGCTTCCAGATGGAGAGGACACGATGCATGTTGGAGGTACACACAAGATTGACCATAGATGTTTTAGAAGCAAAGCTCAATAATCATTAGGACCAAAAATGTGTAATTGTGCATTTCTTATTTTAGTATTTAAGTTTAATGTACTTTTTAAATATGTATCTATCTGCGTGTGTGCATATTTCAGATTGGCGTGGCCTTCTATGAGATGCTCCAGGCTGTCGATCAACACTGCCAACATCTCTTCTACATGGACCCAATCTGTGACTTCCTCTATCACATCAAATACATGTACACTGGAGACAGTGTGAAAGACCAGGTGAGTCTTTACATGTCCTTAGATTGTGTGGACCAATATCTTTTTGATGCCACTAACATTTTAGTTGGTCCTCAGAACTTTAGAGGATGTTTTGAAATTTAAAACTTGGATTTAGGGTTCAGGTTAGAATTAGATTTACAGTGGCAAGAAAAAGTCAGTGAACCATTTGGAATGATGTGGTTTTCTACATGACTTTCACAAAATGTGATCCTATTGTCACCTAAGTCAAGCAGACAAACACAAAATGCTTAAGCTAATATCACAAACAGTGTCTTTACTGAACCCTGCCATTAAACATTCAGAGTGATGGTGGCAAAAGTAAGTGAACTCTAGGATTGAATCAATTTTGGCCCATTTCTTCCTCTGAACTCAGACACATTCCTATAGGATGTCTGGTGTGAAGGTCATTCCACAGCATCTCTGTTGGGTCAAGGTCTGGGCAATGACTGGGCCGCACCAAATGGCAGATTTTTTTGTTTTGAAGCCATTCTGTCAGATTTACTTAAACCTTCAGGGTTGTTGTCCTGCTGCGTCACCCGCTGCTGCTGAGCCTCAAGCTCCTGGACAGCCACTCTGACATTATCCTGTAGGATTCCTTGATAAACTTTCCCCTCCATGATCTAAGTTGGTAGCAGCATGGTGATGCAGTGGTTAGCACTGTCACCTCACAGCAAGAAGGTTCCAGGTTCAAGTCTGGGCCAACCTGGGGTCGTTCTGTGCAGAGTTTGCATGTTCTCCCTGCGCCTGTGTGGATTATGTCCAGGTACTCCAGCTTCTTCTCACAGTCCAAAGACATGCAGTTTAGGTTGATTGGTGAATCTAAATTGCCCATAGGAGTGTGTGTGTGGTTGTCTGTCTCTTAAGTGTCAGCCTTGTGATAGACTGGCATTAGGATAAGCGGTATAGTTAATGGATGGATGATGGCAATTGTCCAGGCCCAGAGGCAGCAAAGCAGCACCACATCATGATGCTCCCTTTACATTACTTTACAGCTGGAGATGATGAATTTCCAAGTTTATAGTAAATATAAGACAGAATGGCTTAAAAACAAGAAAATCTGCCATTTTAGAGTGTCCCAGTCAGAGCCCAGGCCTTGAGCCAACAGAGATGCTGTGGAATGAGTTCAGAGTTGTTTACATGAGACATTCTGGGAATGTGGCTAAACTGAACCAGTTCTGTGGGAAGAATGGGCCAAAATTCTTCCTGAACATTGTGCTGCTCTGATCCATGGCTACAGGAACTACTGGTTTAAGGTTAATGTTGCCAAAGGAGCTTCAACCAGTTAAGTGCAAAGGTTCACTTATTTTCCTCCAGCACTTTGAATGCTTAATGGCTTGTTTCAAGAAAAATATTAAAAATAATTGTGTGGTATTAGCTTTAAGCACCGTGTGTTTGTCTGTATTTGTGACTTAGATGAAGCTTGGATCACCTTTTATGACAACTTCATGTAAAAAAATAAATAAATAAATGGCTCACTGAATTTTTCTTGCCACTATAGGTTAGGCATTTAGTTGTGATAGAGCAAGGGACTAGGCAGCACTCAGAGAGCCAACCTCCGCCCAGGCAGTTTTGCTTCCCCGCAATGTCATTACACTTAACAGCCAATTCCCATGAGCTTGGAATGTGTGTATGGAAATAAATCCCCACCACAATGTTCAGGAGCCCACAAACCAATTTGACCATCCATCCATGTGCTCTGTTTTGAGTCTGCTCTCTCTGACTTCTCCCTTGTTGTGTATGAAACTGTCGCCACCAGAAGGTTTTAAAGTGCTGTTTAGTTTTCAGCTCAGAATTTGAGTGTGCACTGAGACAGATTTATAAAACCAGAGTCAGATTTGGGAGCCGAATTATGAGTGTAACAGATGGTTCAAAGCTCCTCGTGCTCACTTTTGGCAGCCTTGAAATTAGCTCCACTGTAAATAACTACTTTTAATTTGACTACCAAAATTACTCTGCCGCAGTGGCATAAAAACAATAACAGATTTAATGTGACAGTCATTTAGTGTTTTGGCAGTTAGATTTTTATTTTTTAAACCAAATACTAATCTTTCTGGTGGTTACAAAAATGCCCAGCTTTTGTTTTGAAAGGAGAAGGTAGTACCAAACAGGGCGATTCCCAAAGTGACGCTTTGTTCTGAGTTCGGGTGATTCATGACTGCCAAAAGCTTTGAATAGTTGTTCTCACAAATCACCTGTTTGTTAATGCTCACAGTTCTGTCCTTGCTTGCTCTCAAGTCTGTACCTGCACACTCAGATCCTGACTTGTGAACAGAATAGCACTTTCAAACATTTTGGTGGTGACAGTTTCACTA